TTCTTTCTTTCTTTCTTTCTTTCTTTCTTTCTTTCTTTCTTTCTTTCAAGAAACTATCCTATGTGGCCTTGGGAAGACAAGTCCCAACCTTATGAAATAGTCACTCTAATAAAAGTAGGAAGTGAACAAATAAGCAATAAGAAGATGCCATATGGTAGTGGTATAGCCTAGAAAGAAAAATAAAATATGTGCAGGTGGGAGTGGTAGGAGTCCTCTCTAAGGGAGCCTGGGGACAGAGCACCGTAGAGGAGGGAACAGGCGCTATGACTTTAGGGTAGATGCAAGATGGTGGAGGCTTGGGGGAGTTTCAGACATTAAAAAGAGAGAGTTAAGGGGAACAAATCGAACTTGGCCTTGAGGTTCCAGGGAACCTGAAATTTATTCTGAGTAAGATAGGAAGTTGCTGAAAGGCTCATGCAGAGGTATGCTGTGGTCTAATTTGCATATTAAACATGAATCACTCTGGCTGCTGTCAAGACACAAAAATGGGAAAAGGAGATCAAGCTATTGCAACCATACAGGAGAGAAGCGAGAGGACAGATGTGTTGGTTTGCATGAGAATGTTTCCCATAGCATGTAGGTACTTGGTATCCAGTTGGTGATGATCTTTGGGGAGACTAAGGAAGTGTAGGATTACTGGAGGAAGTACATCACTGGAGAATGGGCCTTGAGGTTTCAAAGTCACAGGCCATTCCCAGTTTGCTGCCCCTGCTTGGTGTTTGCCATTGGAGACGTGAGCCCTCAATTACCTGCTCCAGATACCATGCCTTCATTTGTTCTTTTATCACAGCAATAGAAATACCATGAAGCTGTGGGCCAGGGTATTAACAATGGCAATGGGATTTGAGAGGCAGATTTCAGATAACACAGCAAGCATTTCTGGGTGTGAGGGGACACTGGTGCCTACAGAAAAGACTCTGGAATGGGACTGGCCCTGGCAGCCCAATCTAGGTTTTGGTGTCAAAGTATACTACAAGTCACTGATTGGACTCTGGACAGGAGAACAAGGCCATGATGGTCCTGTCAAGTAGGAGGGAAGACCCAAGTGTGCTTACCTTTGGCTCTGTGGTCCTCTTCCTTGGGGCATTTTCCCCCTTCCCACCACTTCCGCTTCAGAATCTCCAGGCGGTTGTTCTCCTGTAGCTGGAGAATGGCCAGGTCGAACTCGTCCCGGAACACTGAGCCTATGGGGTCAAAGGAAAGCCCATGGCAAGATGTCAGTGTTCTCCTAGACACAATGAGCTCCCCTTCCCAGCATACTTCCTGCCCACTCTGTCAATTTGAACCTTGGCAGGGACACAGACACAGCAGGTGGCACCTGTCCCCAAGACCACACTCCTCTAGTCCATCTTCTCTGCTAAAAGAAGGGCCTTCTGGTTTACTCAGTCTTCTTATCTCTTTCACTTTCCTTTCTGCCATGTAATTAATATGGTCATCTTATGACCAAAGATCTCAGCATGAGCCAAGTAATGGCTTTCTAGGCATTTCTGCTACCCATCTCCCTGCCGAGCATCCTTGCTTTCTAATTTAAATGGAGGGCCTATCGGAACTCAACAACCTGCATAATGACACCCAGGAAACCGGATGTAGATCTTCCTATTAGCCTCTAAGAAGCCACCATGTGTATTCCTGTCACACAAACCTCTCAGTCGTTTGCCTAGCTTCTGCCTCACAACTATTCATTTCTTGTGACTGTTGCCATATTACATTTAACAATCATTTACCATAAGCAGCCACCAATGATTGAGAGAAGAACTAACTAGAGCACCGTCTCATCCATCTGCATGGAGGAGCCAGTCACCAGGTGTCCCCGACTCTCATAGCTGAGTTCATCAAAACCTACTGCCCTGCCAATCACTTCATTTCCTTGTTGCCCCTTTCCATCAATCAGCAGGCTTCTTCCTATTGAACATAATTTTTTATAAAAAAATTTCAAAGTAATATGGTCAAGGAGCTTTGGTTCTATAATTTGGGTTTAATCTTACAAATAGGCTTAAATGAATTCAGTGAAAGCTCAATGCCCCACTGAACAGGTGGAGGCCTGTGATCATTAAGAACAAGCTGCCAAGAGACTTGGAAAACAGCTCAGTTGCCTAGTTTACAGAGATCCTATGTGAACAGGCAGCTCTGAGAATGCCCGTGATTGTCGGGTACAGGAAGAAGCCTGACTACACCAGTGAGGGTTTTCCCGCATTTGATGTGTATAGGAATCACCTGGGGATTTTGTTAAACGGAAGGTTCTTATTCGGTGGGTTCAGGGTAGGGCTTAAGACTGAAGTTCAAGACAATACCCAGGCTGCTGGGCCACAGGCCGCAGAACGGTACAATGGAGTCCTCCCTTCTTTAGACACAACTGTGCTGAGTGAGCCCATGACAAGCCTGCAGCCTTGAATGCATTTTTGTCATGGATGTCCACGCACAGTTGTCTGTAGAACAGCTGTGTGTTGGACACTTGTAGTGAGTGAGTACAAGGACAAGTTGCCCTGCAGATGTGGACAGATGTTAGGCTAACACCATCTAGAGTTAGAGACGATGCTCCCCTGTAGCGGGGCACATCCTATCTAAAGCCACAGTGGACCAGGGGCCGCACCGCAGGCTGTTCTGTTTGTTCCCTGCATATTCGGCTCCCAAACCGTCTGATTTGGTTTGCATCTTTCCTTATTGGTTCTTCTCTTTCCCTGGGCCCAACACCACCACTCAGTCTGTAATGACCCTCTTCCTTCCCGCTGGAAGAAAGGCATGCAGTGTAGCCCCAGGCGATCTAAATCTCGGCTCATCAGTGGTTGCATAATGTTGTTTCCTGCTTCACTTGAGAACAGGAGCCTCCCCACAGCACACCTCCAGCTATCCTGGCCTGTGTAGCTGTCCCCACACAGCAATATGGCCTGTTCTGAAAAGTACTGCATTTGGAGATCAGTATCCTGGGTTCAAGGCTTCTCTTTCTAGTTTATGACTTTGGATAAATTATATTCTCTGCAGCATGGGCATAACCAAATCTACCTCTCATGTGGCACCATTAAGTCAGATAACACACTTAAAACTGTATCATGACAGGTGCAGCCCAAAGGGCTTTCTCGCATTTTTTTTTCCCCTAGGTTATAAATGAAATTTTCTAGAACTTGACTCTTTCACCTCAGCTATGTGTGGTCAAGATTGCTGTGGAAGGAAACACTTAACATTTAGGTTAAATTTATAAAGTCAGTAGAGTATTGCCAAGGTGCCCCCC